GCTAAGCGTGCAGAATAATTAGTGGCTGTATTTCCGCCAGTGTTGGACAAAATACTCGATGAAAGTATTTAAGTTAAGCTACAAAATTCCTGCTTCATAAGGTATTTAAAATACTACTCAAGTCACTTTCATTGCAAAGTATCTTGAGTAGAGTACAAATACTGAGGAATGTAACTCAATTACTTTTGATATACTTCCGCATTGCGTAATTTCCATCGACGTCAGTGCCAAACACAATTATACAGTTGCGCAAATCTGGTTTACCAGAACGGTTTATTAGCACGCAACAGATGCTGGTTCTCGAGCTTGTCGTCGCACATCCGTCCTCGTTTGTGCTGGAAGACATCACGCATAATTTCGGTTCACCCTGACAAAAGGAAGTAAAATCGCCAAATGCAATAGTAGGCACATTGGGTTCTTTATCTTCATTGCAGTTAGAGCGAAATTTATGCACAAAGGAGTTGCCTGAAATGCAAATACCTTGAGGTAACATTAAACAATTGTACATGTAGAGCTGAAGCCTGAAAGCAAGAATATAAGTTCAAACGTAACCTGAGGTGCTTCCGGATAATAGAATTTCAAGCTATACCAACGAAGAGCACCTTCGTGTAGGGGAGGCATAGCTTGCATTTCACTTTTAGATTGCTGCCTTTCTCGGACACACATTCAAAATAAGTTTTTAGATACGGCCACGGTAGGACAGAATTTTTGTCTTTCATCATGATGAGTGTGACAGCTTGAGTGAGTGAGAGTACTGCAGAAGGGAAAGGCAAAGGAAGTGTTTCGCAGCCAATAGAGTGTCGAGAAGGTGGCTTTTATAATGTGAGAGTAGTTTTTTCATGTGTTACCGTGCCGATGCGGCCCCCTCGAGTCCAACGGTGTTTTGTGTCAGCCAGCCGGCGGATGCGCCGCTAAGTCAAAGACCAAAGCCTGATCGGATCGACTAACGATCGTTCGAGAAAGTCTCGCCTGACACCTGTTGTCAGGTGAGAAGTCTCCGTAGCTTATCGGAGCTAGCAAAAGGATTTGGTTGCCGTAAAGAATGTTCACGTTCCCTCGTGCCACGCCGATGCCACTTCGTCCCGAAAAACTCGGAAAATGGCGGAATGTCAAAAATTTATTTGAGGTAATGAGCACTAGATACTCAAAAACGCAATTAAAATATAGTATCAGATACTCTCGGTCAAAAGTATTCGCAAGATACCAACGTACTTCAAAAAGTATTTACAATACAGTATATTTGAAAAGAGTATTTGAGATAGGCCCAAGTCTGAATTTTCAGCAGAATAGGGTCTTCAGGTAGACCCAATAAGCCGGGGTAACATTGCTTGTGCATCATACAAAGGACAGTCAGCATACAGATTCGAACGCGAGACTCGTGATTCGAATGCCGCATGGCAATGAGTTCAGGAAGGAAACTTGGGCACGCGGAATTTTAACCACGCGGATATCACTGTGATTCGCGTTCGCAGACTGTCTTTTTGTACGATGTGTGAACAGTGTGACCCCGGCTATAGACTTTCCAGGTGTTCCTGTCCTGTTGATGCTCTTAACCCAGGTGCGAGTGATATCTGCAGCGACATAATAGGGACTTTTAGCAAACCGTTACCGTGTTCCTAGTATACCGTAGTGCCCGCGCTACCGGACCTCTTAAAGCCTGCGTTTAAGCGCGTGCCCCGCGGTCACGGTATCACCCGGGCGGGCGCTTAAAAGCATGCTTCAAAGGCTCCGGGAGTGCGGTGCACGGACCACGGTAACGGTTTGCTGAAGTCCCTGAGGTGTTCGTCTTCGTAACGGGGCGTAATCAGTTATGTCCATGTATTATACAAAATCAGCAGTGAGACAGTCAGTTACTTATACGAGATAACCTAACCCCGTGACAAATTTTGAGCAGAAACTTGATAGTTATTGGGAAAAAATAATACGTAATATGCGTTTCTTTGTCGCTGTCATAAAGATGTAAGGAAAATCGGAAGCCAAAAGGTAGTTTGACTTGTTTGCCTAACCTGTTGTCATTCGGTGAAACCGCAGGTGATGAGCTGATCGACGTCTGACATACTTAGGCCAAGGCTTCAGCACAATGAGATTAGACACACAAACCGAGGTCGTATCTCAAGTACTGCGATGCAATTGTTCATGACTTGACAGAAAAAAAAAGGAAAACTTTTAGGTTTTTGCACTGGAGGCCTCAAGCCGAGGATCCGGCGTCGAAATAAAAAATTAGCTCAATTTTTTTTTTTACTTTTTTTCGTAGTTTGTTTTTAGAACGTATGCAACCTCCACCAATTTTTCGATCAGTTTATTAGATGAGAATGAGGGAAAGAGAAAAAAAATCGCATGGCTTATACTTTCCGTCAAATGCAACAAAGATGCGAAAACATTTTTTTTTTTTTCATTGTTTCCAACGACCAGCACTCGCTATTGGAATGACATGCAATCTGACACGTAGCGAAGGTAGTAGGCGGTTTTACGAAACGCCTTTTCACTTCCGGTACACCGCGTTCCACCATGTCAGTGAACAGCTTCCGGCAATTTCCCCATTCCTTGCATGCAGACGGTTAGTCTTCGGCGTCACTTCTCTTATTGGTGAAACACACAAGCATGGCGAGTGGCTCCGTCTTCGAACGGGGGTCTCCAAACCCCCAGAGTCGTTTATACTGAGAGAGTTTGGCCTCCTTATTGTTGTATCATGCTCATTAGTCTTTACGTGAACATGTCAAATTTCTTATGCGCTTTTATGTGTGCCTTGCGAGTTTCGTGGGTTCCAATTCTTGTGAAATGTGATCATAAGCTAAAGCACTGAATTTCAAATTAAAGTATATGCATTCATCCACACATGAAATCGAAAGAATAGAACACGGAGGACAAGCACAGGACAACCCCGTTCTTTCATTGAGCAATGACGTTTATTTTGGGCAGGAAAATAGCACCCTGAACGAGATCCCAACTAAGATAGGGTGATAAGGGGGAAGGAAATACTGGGGGATGAAAAGGGGGAGGAAGAACCACGAGGCACGGGCAGATCTACAGTGATGGTGTGGTTTTTTTTCGCGGAGTTGCGATATTTTATCAAGTTCCGGCCTGATAAATTCGATATCCCGTCTTGATAAGGTTACTGGGACCTTATCACCCTATCTTAGTTGGGATCTCGTTCAGGGTGCAATTGTGCTGCCCAAAACAAACGTCATTGCTGAATGAAAGAACGGGGTTGTCCTGTGCTTGTCCTCCGTGTTTTATTCTTTCTATTTTAAGTATTCATGTTCGACTCGCTCGCTTTTACCAATAATTCATCCACATTAGATACTTCTTTTTACTCTAACTTTCAATTTTGTACTGAAATGCTTATCTAGGATTATTTATTAAGTGTATTTCTCATATATAACTATTTCTTTATTTTCCGGACCTCAAGGCGGCAACAAACTCCCGATCCGGCCCCCTAGTCAAAATGTTGGGAGACCTCTGGTCTACGATTTAGCTCAGCAAGCAATGCCGGCGACGCATTTTGGCCGCATAACGCGGAAAAACATACCTACTCCGCTTTCTTCTTTCTTTTGTTTTTTCCTATTAAAGTTTTTTGTTGGCAGGTGCCAAAGTTATTTCGGCCACCGACGGGTCGACTTCTCGATCCCCGGTTCGTTTTAAGTCAGAACGAAGGGGCCGGTATGGTAAAAAATCGCGTACCAGCCGATGCCCCTTTCTTGTTCCTCGACTATATACTCTTGTCGGCGCAGTCGACGTGAGGCGAAAGACCTTCGAGCGGTCTGGATAACACTGCCTCCGAGCATAGGGCGAAGGTTCATCGACATGGCGTCCAACGAGAGTTCGAACCGGAAGTACGTCACATGAAACCACCCTATTACTAAATGTATACAGGACTTTTTTTTTTTTTTTTTTTTCATCCACGCATCTTTTTTGGGGGGGCTCACGGCATATAGCGGCAAGCGGAAGCGTTGCGTTGCGAAGAGCACTTGCGCCAAGCTTGTACACACAGTTGCGCTGACACGCAGTCAACCGCAGTCAAGAGCCAAGAACGCCCTATATCGTCGCTAGCGGCTCCCCAGTAGCAAGCGAAATCCACGGCAATATGGCGGCGCCCAGCGACAGCGTCGAAGTGTTCGATCTTGGGGCAATCCCGATGGCTTTCCCGACATTTTGTTGAACTTCAACCACCGCAGCCTTGGAAAAGGCAGTTCCCGACGCTCCCCAAAACGAAAAAGCAAGTTCTGCGAGCGGAGAACCGAATACATCTCGCCGAGTGGCGCGAGCAAACACCGTCACCCTCCTCTTCTCTCTCGGCTTCTGATCGGTCGAGCGCACCGTAACGCTTCGGAAAGTTGAGCGACGTTCCACTCGCTAGCGTCGCGCTTCCGAGCGTTGCGGGAAGGTGTGCGTCGCACCGCAAGCGACCGCTCCTGGCCGCAAGGACGCCGCAACGCACTGAAACCCGTTCAAACTCGAATGTGCGTATGGGCCTTTATTCTACTAATACGCAGTTCCTACCCTACTAGACAACAAAAGGGGGAGGGGGAGACAAGGAAGTGTTAGCGCCTCACTACCCCCCTCCCCCCTTTGCACGACGCTACGCCATTGGTCGAACACGCTATGACGTCAAACCAATAGAGGCGCTCTGTTGTCGGCTCTCTCACGTGACCCTGGCACGGTGCGACCAGCACGAGCAAGATTCAATCAGAAGAGATTGCTTCAAGAGAGGGGGTGGGCGATCGTTGGGGACCCTCTCTTTTTGAGTCTTCAAACAAAACTGCGCCCTATTAATTGAAGACCGGTGGCTTCGCTGGGTTTCCATAGGAGTTGAGTCGTTTTCTTTCTTTACTTTTTCCTCGGGTAAGTTCGCAAATTTATAGAAAAAATGCATCATACCTGGTCAACGCTGCAAAAAATCGTAGCCTGACAGGTTAAGAAACCGAAATTTCCGGTCGATTTAAAGAGCTTGGCCGCTATTTGACACACCTGATGGTACTCGTTTAAACTAAACATTTGGATCGGCTGAAATAACACACATTTCCATTTATTCAAAGTTATAATCACCCAGTTATACAAGGGGTATACAAAACACTCACCGAGAAGTACGATTTCTCTTTTTCTCGGACACATCGCGAAGTTGGGCTGGGAAATGCTTGGCAGACGACAATCAGAAATGCTCCAGCGTGGGCTTTCACAATTGGTTATTGTTCTAAGGACAAACGCACACCACACTCTCGTCGGAGGAAGCCGGCATCCAGCTGACAACCATATATACGCTTCGTATGCAGACTAGGCAAAAAGCAGCCCATGTAGTTGAAAAAGAGAAACACGACAGACTTTGCAAATGGTGAGCGCGAAGGCAAGCTGTTGGAGGTCCACATTCTTGAGCTCGACACGAGGACGACACACTGGCGGGAAACACAAGACTAGCACCTCGAAAACACAGCATGGAATCATGCACGGCAAAGTTACCAGATCAACTCAGTTGCAGCACTGTCCCTAGACGCTGGGTACCACGCGCAGTACCCTTCTCCCCCTGAAAGTTCGCCTCCCGTCGTTCGGAGCGCCACGGTTTTAGAGACTGCTGTTATGGTAACTCCATGAAATTCATAGGTTCTGAAGCAGAGTGTCTAGACGACACTTCATCGTAGCCGCTCCAAAGAATACAGTTTTCAAGCACAAGTTATACACACTTGCAAGTGGGATCCCAGCCTATCCTCGAACCCCGCTCCGAGGTTAGCTGCTCGTCGTACAATGATGCCGAGCGCCTCTCGCTGAAGTGTACACCACTGAGCGCCAGAAACAGACTAAACATTATTTCTAAAACATACATGCGGTACCTTAGACCGCGAAAGGGCACAACAAATTAAATAAAGTACCTAAACCAGTAACAAACCGAAAAAATTAAAAAAGAAATAGCTAAGTCTCAAAGTGCTCGCGGCAACTATGGCTTCCACGACGTGCTGGAACAGAGGCTGCGATCGTTATAAAGTCAGCTCCAACCCTTATACGTGCCCCCTCCTACGATATTTGATGCTACAATTTTGTGTGGACACCTCCTTCTGCCTTCCGAAACAGTAAGTGCGTTTCTAAAGCCTAGTTCACATGCAGCGGTTTTGGCCCTAGAGCGGCGCGATTTCTGCCGTCGCGGCGCTCTGGCCAGCACCAGCAATTCTGCGGCACGAGCGCCGCAACGGCAGAAATCGCGCCGCTTTAGGGCCAAAATCGCTGCATGTGAAACCCGCTTTACGCTGGCCGCCGGCGATGCCGCTGAAATCTTTTTCTTGTGCACCCCAACGGCGTTTCCCTAGCGCACCCCAACAAGGCGGAAATGTTACGCGGCGCCAGCGTCGCTCCAAATGGCAGCGCACAGGAGCCTTTCTCGGAAACGTGTACAGATGGCGTTTCAAACGACGGGCGGCGGCCTCGGGACATAGAGGGCGGTTCGCTCAACAACTTCGCTTCTCCGCGGGAGTTCTGCAACTGAGCTGATCTAGTAACGTTTATGCACAGCTTGTATACGTGACGTCACTTTCGATATGTTCGGAGGTGGTATCCATACCTAACCCAGGGCGTGCCCGTCAAATAGCCCATGTGTATTTGAGACGCCAGTTTTGCGTTTGTCTCTCATCTGTTGCTGCAGTTACAGGTACAAGACGCTAGACCAGAAACTTTCCCAGCTGCAATCGTATCACGCATCTGGTGATGTGCCCGTTCGCTCGATGTACGCTATCGCGTCGTCCACCTGCGCGAAGAAACAAAAAAAAGCAATGTCAGAATAAATATGACACTTTTTTATGCGCGCACTTAACTCTAGTAATTCGCGTGTCAACCGAGCGAAGAGTTCCTCGAAATATTTTAGCTTTGCGGTATTATCTTCAAACATGCATCGTGGGCACACCCACGTATTATACTATGGTGCCTGGAACGTGTCTACGACTGGTTTGTTTACAGCATCTTAAAAATGGTATTTTTCGCCCACAATGTGCGAAAAAGTAGAAGCGGTAGCTGTAAATTTGTGACGTCATGTGACACTGCGACGGCACAATGTAACACCGATTCCCCGCTAAATTTAGCGAAGAAATTGTTACGACATGGAACACTCTGACGTCTCAATGGAACACTTTAATCCCCCACAAAATTTAGCGGAAAATTTGCCACGTCATATGACACTGTGATGTCACAATGTAACACCAATTCCTCGCTAAATTTAGCGAAACAACTGTGACGTCACGTGAGACAGTGACGTCACAATGTAACACTTTAATCTCCCGCAAAATTTAGCGGGAGATTTGTGACGTCATGTGATATTGTGACGTGACAATGTAACGCTGTGATTCCCCCTCAAGTTTAGCAAAAAAATTGTGACGTCGTGTGACACTTCGTCGTCGCAATGTAACGCTGATCCCTCGCAAACGTTTGCGGGATAATTGTGACGCCAGAATGTAACACTGATTCCCCGCGAAATTTAGAGATAAAATTGCCAGGTCATGTGACTGTGACGTCATAACGTGGCACTGCGATCCCCCGCGAAATTTAGCGGGGAAAGTTGTGACGTCATGTGACACTGCCGTCACAATGTAGCGCTGTGATTACCCGCCCAATTTAGCGGAGAAACTCCGCGCTACGTTTAACTGATAATTTTTCCCGCTAGATTTAGCAGGCTGTACGTACACGAAACAGGCGGGAACCCTCGCAAAACGTCGCCAATAAGGAGTTCCCGTAGCTCGTTTCCGCTGTCCCGCAACGCACTCCGCAACCCGCTACGATAACCGAAACTCTAGAGTCAAGGCCATCGCCGCGCAGGCGCAGTAGCGGCTTCTTCGTTGCGGAGGGCTTAGCGGAGGGGGAAACGCGGTTTACGAAAACTCCCTAATAACAGCTAACCCCGTAAACGATTTTTTTTTTTCTTCTTTTGTGTGACGCCTCATAAACGCGTCGATTAACTTACGGGACAGAACCAGGCAGAGCCGGGCATGTAGATGACCTTGGAGAGGGTGGACATCTGTTCCATGGGCGAGATGATGTGCAGGTGCAGGTGGTTGATGCTCGTGAAGGGCGGCCAGTGGAAGCCCATCCTGGAAGAGTCGGCACACGCCAGTGAGCCTCGCCACGTCTCCGAAGGGTGTGTTTAGCGTCTATTCTGTCCATGTATCGAAAATGGTCCCGAACTGGCAAAAAGTCACGCCACAAGATCCGAAGGGGTCATGCTGCCGGAGGTCGCGATCCTGGCGGTTGGGCGCGTAAGTTCTGGAGAAAAGAGCACTGGAGAAAGCGAGTGGCGCTGTCGACGCCGCGTATTAACTCCTGGCTTCCGAAGCTTCCGTGGACTGTCACGCGGGAGAGCGACCTGCAGCAGAACAGGCGTCTGCCACACCCACTACCGCTGCTGGGACACCAGCAGGATCGCGGCCGGGGACAGCGTGACGTCATCAGGCGGATGTCGAGGGACCACTTTTTAGGACGTGGTAAACGTACCAGTCGGAGCCAGACGCGTTCCGGACACCGTACGAAGGGAGTTCATAAAATTCGTATTATCGGCACGAGAAAGCTTAAAAAGTAGGAACCAAACAGGCATCAACACGAGCGCGCGTCTACTGGGTGTTTCAAGGAGTGGCTAGGCTCTTTAAATCGACCGCGAAATTCGGTTTCTTAACCTATCGCGCTACGACTTTGTGCAGCTTTGCCCAAAGATGGTGCTTCTTTTCTTTTTTTTTTTTTGTAAAATTTGCAAAGAGCAAACTTACCTGAGGAAAGAGTAAAAAAAGAAAAAAGGCTTAGCTCCTATGGAAACACAGCGAAGCCACCGGTCTTCAAACAATACGGCGCCGTTTCGCACGGGAGACAAGAGATGGCGCAAGCGGTCGCGATGCCAACTGCCGCCAACGAACGAGCATACAGCGCCAAGAGCCGGCGTCTTTAGCAGACAATCTTTTCGACTCAAAAGCGGCGCGAGCTTTTCTGATATCAGTTGCCAATGCATTATTTTATCATCCTTACTAATAGAACACATTGAATGGACACATAAGCGATTAAAAAGGTGGTTTGTCGGGATATTTTGACTGTTTTTTTGTTCGGGATACTGATGTCGTCTGCTTTGCAGTTTCTTGTTGTTACCGCGCCTGTTCTTGCTTCTGCGACTGTCGCCGCCTGCGGAAGGCATTTGAGTCTAAAAGATTGTCTGCTAAATACGCCGGCACTCGGCGCTGTATGCTCGTTCGTTGGCGGCAGTTGGTGTCGCGACCGCTTGCGCCATCTCTTGTTTCTCGCGCAAAACGGCGCCGTATTGTTTGAACACCGAGGGCTTCACTGCGTTTCCATAGGAGCTAAGCCTTTTTCTTTCTTTACTTTTTCCTCGGGTACGTTCGCTCTTTGCAAATTTTACATAACAAATGCACCATCTGTGGGCAGCGCTGCACAAAGTCGTAGAGCGACTTCGCGGTCTATTTAAAGAGCATGGCCGCTCCTTGAAACACCCAGTAGTTTCGGCACAGTATAAACATCGCGTTCTTTAGTACCTCGAAACGTCGCTAGGGCGTCGAAAACAAAAATGGCACCGCCCGTCGGGGAAGTCGAAGCGCCGTGCAGCGGTCCGTTCTCTCCATTTGAAGGGAAGCAATGCCAAAGAGATTTGATCGGAGGCTGGTGGCGGTGTTCGGGGACAACGCCTTATAGCTTATGACTCTGTGGTTAAATGGCACACACGCTTCCACTTTGGCCAGACAAGCCCTTGGGACGATCCCTGAACATTGAAATACGATGATCTCTATAAGAATAAAGGTTGTCTATCGGTGGCGAAAGCGCGTGACTTGGGGTGGTGAATATGTAGAGGTTGATTGTTGAATCTATTCCTTCGTGACAATACTAGGAACTCTATGAACGACCCTCGTATTTATACACTAAGGTGGCTGGAAGGCATCTCCGACTAGTGTGTTTAGTTTCCCGCTCCTGAAAAAATGATCAATGATTTTCTATTGAGTTTCTAATGTATTCTTCTAGAGTACATTAGAAACTCAATAGAAACTCATTGATCATTTTTGTAAGGGCGCGCACCGCCGATACATGGAAAGCGGTCCACAGGGGCAACAATTGCGACATAGACGCCGGCGTGTTACGCGCTGTCGGATGTCGCGATCCTGACGGTCGGTCGTAGAGCTTCGGGCAAAAAGAACGAACAGACGCGAGGCGTTGCTGCAGTGTCCAAACTCGCGGGCTGCAGAAGCTCGTGTCGAATGCCGAGCTGGGGAGCCACCTGCGGCACAGCAAGCGTCAGCTGCATCCATCAGCGTTGCTCGCCACCGCCAGGATCGCGGGAGGCAACATCGTGACAATTATAGGACGTCCTCAGGAACAAATCGAGCGACCGCATTTGTGACCGCCTTAAAAATCACACCCGTCAGAGACGCTCCTGCCAGGGGTCTGATTTTGATGGCCGCGAGAGCAAGATCAAGAGCGACATCTAAATTGTCTCTCGTGGTGCCAGCGAACATACACACACACACTCACACACATATGTGTATGTATGTGTGTATGTTTGGCTTTCGTATTGATTGATGGCGTCGGGAGCAACGTCTGAAGGTGCAGCCGACTAGCAAAAGAAAGCAGACGACTCGCAGGCGAAATCTGTTGGCAACAAAAGCGCCGCCGTTATGCAGACGCGTTTTTTTTTTTTTTTTACTTTTAGTTTTGCTTTTATAGTCCGAATTTAGTTTTTTAACCGAAGGTACATTTCAAAAAAATTATGCTCATTTTAATAAAGCACAGTGGTCGCGAGCCGTCGCGATAAGGAGGTAACGCCATCTATCAATACGAACGCTAAACACACCCCGCTACTGAACCCCTGTCGTATGCGTCGCTGCCCACCGTAGACGCTGGCAAGTTTCTTGGCCTTAGTTTTGACAGAAAGATAACTACACTTTGTAATATAAAAAAAAAAAACGACCCGTGAAATACACTTTTGACGAAAAGTTCAGATCGCTACGTGCAGGCGTCGATTTTCACGGTCCATTTTAGGTCGAGCCTGGTGACTTGAACCACCCTATATATACGTTCGTAGACAGTTCGTCTGCTAACGCGAGTGAAGAACGCGGTTCGCCTGCTGCGAAGCGTCATTTGCAGACGGAAATAAAACAAGAAAACGCCGTACGTCGTCTGCTAACTGCTAACAGACCGGGGGAAACAAAAATGCTGATCGTCCGCTACGAACCTAGCACCGCGGCGGAGCGACATCGGACATGGGTTCACATTGTGATCGTCTGCTATTTCCCGATAGAAGCCACTGAGAATCCGCGCCTCGTTTGCAAATCTCAAGTTGTTCTGCTGCCGTATACACAAGCTGACATCAACAGTGAAGGAGCACTAAGGGCAAGCACATCAAGGGCCACAATACCTTTCTTTCTCGCAATCTGCGCGTTGGTGAGCTCACCAAAAAATTACCGCACCGTGAACTCGCGAACGGGTCAAAAACGTCTCGTTCTTTGATTACGCGCGAGCTGTGGCACCACGTCCAATCAGAGGCCGACAACGCTTTGGTTCTCACCTTGACCAAAACCGGACCCTAGGCACAATACTCTAATCGGAAGCAGGGTCCACTATAAGCTTTTGCGCATCCGTACATCCTCTCTTACGGCCTTGCTTCCCGCTGTCGCCACTTTCAGAGGTCAGTGTACCCGCACGACCAACGTATTCACTCCATATCTTTGCGCTTATTTTGTCTTCTTTGGCATTTTTTTAAATATAATTAGACTGGGCAATAAAAGCAATAACAACCGAAGCAACTACACAATCCCGAAGTGTTCTGACGGGTGGAGGCATGCTGGGATGTACATTGCGGTGTTTCAATTTACGGAAATTCATTTAAAACAGAGGAATCCGATCCACCGGACCACAGCCGTAAAGCCTAGACCCGCGCGGGCAACATGTTGTCAACATCCAAGCCGAGGAAAAAACGTTACAGAGTTTCAAAATTGTGAAAATGTTTTTCTTTTTTTGGTACGTACATAGAACAAACATGTCTCAATTTATGATACGTAAGGTCGACGAGGGTGCATACCTGAGAGAATCGAGGGTACCGCCTTTCTCCAAAAGTACCTGCTGCCCAATGTCGATCAGTCGCCTCACTGGAACGACACGGAGTAAAAGATGGGTAGTTTCACTCCTTTTACGTGCAAACAAAAACACTTATGTCACAAAACTTTCTCCCGAAAATAAATAAAACAATTAGCACAATAGTTACGTCGCGAGACATAATTTTGAGCTAGAAGCGATTTCTACAGATGTTTCTATTTAGAGGCGTCAAAGCCGAAATAAAAAACATGTTTCGAATCGTTCAGGTAAGTCTCGCTCCGTAAATATTGCGCAATTTTTTTATTAAGTTTCTTTTATGAGATACATCTCATACCTAAACATTAAAATAAACTACCGCAATATTTCAAGGGATGCCCCACCCCTCAAAGATAACCCACCCTATTCTTGGCATAAATTAGCCATTTCTTTAAAAAAAACACCTAAAAATAGTTTATTTGTAGTAATTGCAGCTCCCTGGCCGATGATGACCTCGGCAGAAATGGTGTTACTGAGCAACGGCGGAAGGTAAGCGAACATTGCTGACTGGGAAAGACTTTCGCCTTTGGTTCATCGCACCTCCCTGCGATCACAAGCCTTCGCTAATCACAAAATCCAAAAAATCCAAACACAGCATTTCTTCCAACACTTTTCTTCATTACAAACCGAAAGTTAGCTTACTCCTTAGTTTCACCCGATTTGCCTTCAATTTTAAGTGGGCTATCTCTCAAGATATTCCAACAAACTTTTTTATTGTTGTTGCTGTTTTTAAATTTTTTTAAGGAACATTTGTTTACCTAAAGGTATGTCCGCTGGAGTGAGACCCTTGACACTCCTAATGTGCATCTTGGGAACCACCAAGTAGTGGTGAGTCGAAGCCGGGTGGATGTCCCGAAATACCACGTACTCTTCGTCCTGCGGTTCAAAGAAAGCGGCTCGTTTCGACACCGCACATTTCCCTCGTTCGTGTCCGAGAGGTTCTTAAAACAGGCCTGCTCATGCCTGCACCAGAGTCACTGAATCTTTCCAAAGTATCGCATTCAATAGCGTCCGCCGTGACCGTTCTTTGTTCGGTTTTTTGATCGGGAATTTTGGCGCCGAAACATATACGGTCGAAGGGGTATCAAAGATAAAGAAAAATTATTGACATTAAACTCTGTAAAACATAAAACACGTGGGGAATCGGGTAGACAAGAAAACCATGTAAGCTACAAATATGCAGAAGCGGAGGTAACAAACAAACATATCACAGCAAGTCAAACATGGTCGTACCTTACATCTCGTAAGCACAAAAAAGGGGGGCTCTTTCCTCTTTTGGCTGGGCGAGGAGTTCCTCCTCGCCCAGCCAAAAACGTTCGCAGTCCAGGTGGCGGAGCAGTGTACCCCGCAGTCGATAGAGCACGGGCCACATTGCACGAGACAGCCCTTGCTGGCCAACTGCTGTGCAACGGTTCTGACAGAGAACCATGCAGTTGGCCGACTGCCAACAAAGGCAAGGCGAAACCTCCTCCTTTCTTCCCTCCCTCCCTCCTCCTCCTCCTCCTCCTCCTCCTCCTCCTCCTCCTCCTCCTCCTCCTCCTCCCCCTCCCCCCCTCCCCTCCCCCTCCCCCTCCCCCCCTTCCCCCCCCCCCCCCCCCCCCCCCCCCCCGAGGACACCGACCACTTGACACAAAGTTCCAGAAGCCCAAACTCCGGAAGCCATGGTGCACCGAGCGGCGAAATGAGCGCGCGACGGGACAATCAGAAAAAAAGTGGGTGTTCGTCTCCACCTGCCCACAGTCGGGGCACTTAAGTTCGGGAACAATGCCCCAGCGGTGGAGTCGTTGTCTGGTGGGGAAGACACCTTAGCCCCGGCGCCACTCGAGATCTTCCACGGGTCCGGAGAGGCGGCGAGAGACGAACGAGGACCACGTGAAGGCGTTCCGCCGACCCCTCTGCTCGAGAGTGGTCCGGGACACGTAGACCTCCTCAAAGACGCGAGCCGGTGGCACTTCGCGCACTTCCAGGTCCGGCAATGCATGTCTTGACTGCTCATGGCAAGCCACCACCGCTGGGTAAGAAGGGGGCGTTGTTCCAAAAATTGTCCAACGCGCGAAGAACGAGCACCCGGCGTGAGGGCCCTCGAAAATAGAGGGCCAGGGATCGTGCAGGATGGTACGGGTCATCCAACACCCCAAGAACAGCGCAGAGGGAGAGCAAGCGGCACACCGTGTCGACCTAGGGCATGCCTCTGCCGGTCAGTGACGTGGGAAGGCGGAGCACTGACCTTGTCACTAGATCAGTGCCCCTGCTCCAGTAAAACTGGAAGAGACATGAGGTGACGCGCCTGGTGAACCGAAGAGGGGGAAGAGCAACGTGGGCAACACAAAAAAGCTGCCCACAAAGAACAGCCTTCACTGGGTAAGCTCTGTGGCGGAGGAACAGCGTGAAAGCCCCCGCAGCAGCGACCTGACGTTCAAGCGCGGAGGCTACGACTTCCCACGTGCGGGACGCCACTCCACAAGTGTCGAAAAACACGCCGAGGACGCGGAGCTCGTTCACGACCTGGATGTCTGCAGGTAGAGTGGGAGGGGAAACCTCAGAACTTCAAAGCTTGGCTGTTTGGCTGTGTTTGAACGCGCTGCAGAAAAAGCGTTGTACTCCGAGAACCGCTATGCAACGGCCTCAAAACTGTGAGAACTGCGCGCAAACAAACTGACGAAATCCGCGTAGGCGCTAACTACAACCGCATCCCGGCCGGGTAGAGAAAGGCTACAGAACCGGGAGCTGGACGCAAGACGACGGAGAAGAGGGTCGAGGCTGAGGACCTGGAGTAAGGGGGACCGAGGTCAGCCCTGTTGCACACCCCCAACTCACTGAAAAAGGCGAGAGGAAACACCCGTTGACTTGCCAACGGCTAGTCAGTCCGATGTACAGGGATTGAAGTAAAAATATGAACGTCTCAGGAAAGCGATAGGCTCTCAGGACCCCAAAAAGAATACGGTGCTCAACTCTGTCAAACTATTTCGCTTGGTCGAGGAAAACACAGGTCCCAGACAAATGGGTAAAGTTGGCATAGGCGAAGAGGTCCCGCGTGAGTGAAAGGGAAGAAGAAATGTTGCTCCGAGGCACCGAAAACGTCATAACTGGAGTCACCACATGGGGCAAAACAGTGCGGAGGCGCGAGGCCAGTGGAAACCTTCCCACCTCGTAGTCAGCGTTCTTCTGGATTTGAAGAAGAGCCACCCTCCTCTGAGAGAAGAATGACGCGACCCCATCCGAATGATAGTGGAACCTCACTCGTCTCCAGAGAGTTAACCACCTGAACTAGGGGAGGGGAGGGGGGGGGGGTGTAAGAACGTCTCAAAAAGTGACGTAACATTCGGCTGGCAAGCCGTTAGAATCTGGAGCAGACCCGACCTTCGTGGCTTGCAGGACTTCAATGAAGACTCCCTTACGAGTGGTATGAAGCACGAGAAAGAAGCCTGGTTTTCCGGGCAAGCCGGAAGGTCTCTGCAGAAAAGGCGAACCCGTTCAGCGAAATTCACGGTGTTCACAGCGGGGTCCGAGCAAAAGAGGGACGAACAAAAATCTCGAAACATCGCGCCGATCTTAAGGGGGTCCTCTGCAAGGCTATAGTGTCAGTGAGACGGAGATGGGGCATGAGGTTCCCCGCGGAGCGTGTCGCGGGGCTTGTCGTCCAGCCGGCTGGACGACACGGCCCGCGACCACGTGGAATCGTACGCAGCGCTGTGTAAAGGGGTGTCCAAACAGGACACTACAAAATGCACGACTCCGACAAATCGTGAAAATTGAAGCGGGCGCGTCCGCTTCAATTTTCACAATTTGTCGGAGTCGTGCGTTTCGTAGTGTCCTGTTTGGACACCCCTTAATTCGACCCAGGCGTCGCGCACGTCGTGAAGCCGGAGAAGCCGAACCAGCCCCTGAGCGTCAAAAATATTCCGCCCACTAGAAGGCCCGCGGATGTCACGCGAGGAGTCTGTTTCACAATTGAAGTCCTCGCAAAAGAAAGAAACAACAGTCTTCGAGCACATACTGCAGAAGGCTTTTAAATAAATCCCCAGACGGCGTGTGACCTTGGCAAACTGGAGCGTAGACGCTTATAGCCCGAAACTTGGCATGATCAACAAAAAGCTGCACACGAGGATTCGACCGTCCGAATCGCACAGTGAGAAAGCACCAGCAGGAACGAAGCGCAAAAAGTTTAAACGCCAACACCAAGCGCGAGACGTCGCGGAAGAAAAATACCAGAGAATAAAAATATGCACCTTAAAATCTGCCACATCACGAGCAGGAAAACAAAAATCGTTTCTTGCAAGAGCAGATTGCAGTGATTAGACTGAGCAAGATGAATCACCTCCCGCTGCTTGTTCGTACTCCGAAAACGTTGCACATGTAACGTCAAAATGAGCAGGCACATTAAAGGGAAAACAGAAAGTTGAAATTCCGGTGCGTCCTCATAGTAAAAACTGCCCAAGCCGAAAAGCTTCTTTTTAACTGACGAAGCGGGAGCCGCGTCCGAGCCGCTGCCACCAGAAGAGAAAACGCGCTTGGCGTCCGAGCGGTCGTCTGGCGTGGCGGCGTCTTTGACAGACGTCGATTCCGCGGACGATTCACGTGGCGCCGTTGTCGACGAAGCTTCTGGCGTGGAGGCTGGATGTCCCTGGCCCGGAGTCACGTCGTCTTCATCAGCGATGGCGAGACGGTCCGAGTCGCCACTCAGGTCGTCGACGTCAGTGTCGCGAGATCCAAAGGTGGCGGCCGCGTTCGACGAAGCGTCCGGGGCTTGGCTGTAGGGGGTGGCAGCAGCGTTCGACGGAACATCCAAGGTTTGGTCGTCGGTAGGGCCAGCCGCACTCGATAGAACGCGTGAGCCTCGGCTGCGGGGAATGGCGGCCGCGTTCGATGGAACGCCCGAGGCTTGGCCGTCGGTCGGGGAAGCCGTGTCCTATAGAACGCCCGAGGCTTGGCTGCCGGAGTGGCGGCCGCGTTTAGTGGAGCCTTTGGAGGCTTGGCTGCCGCGGAGGCGCCGGCGCTCGACGAAGCGTCGGAGTCCGAGACGATGGGGGGGAGGTGGCGGAGTCCGCGGGCGGGTGGACGGATCCGAGTCTTCACCAGAATGCTGAAGGGCTAGGAGGGCGATGGGGCGACAACTTGCTGCGGGGGACGTGGTCAAGTCTCCCTGGGCTGCTGGGCTGCGGCAGAGTAGGACTTGCGCTGGATGCGGTCCGTGGTCGCATGGCCGTGGCCACACCGTTGGCAAGAGGCCGTGCAACTGCCGTCGCATGCCCGAAGATGCCGCGTCAGTCGCAACGTGGGGTCTTGCACGCGGGTCCGACGTGGACCTCCAGCCCGCACCGCATGCACACGCGGCGCAGACCGCGGTAGCCGACCATCAACCGGCGTCCCTGGATGTGGACGAAGTTGGGGACCGACTTCGACATCTCCATCTTGACCAGCCGGGTGTCGGTCCTGACGTCCGGGCGGTCTCGAAACGTGGTGTGGTTGATCGCCTTCACCTTGCCGTATTGTGCGAGGACTTGCATTAGTGCGCCCTCTAACGTACGGGGAAGGCGGTACATGGACACAAACACAACGTGGGCTCTTACACTGGCTTCAGGGGGACATTTACACGTTACCAAGCAATAAGAACCCTCGCACTACAAAACGCTGAGCAGCGGCCATGGTGCTGACCGCCGCCATGAACCTTGCTCCACCGTGGTGTTGCAGGCACGACAAGCCAACCCCGCCGGCGACGGCTTGAATGCTGTCCATGGTCGCATCTACCGGAACCGGAGTGCCCGCCGGAACGTTGAAGGAGAAGCACTGCGCCTTCGTAGGCATCGACATGGCGGAGGCTTTGAACCCCGGGGACCACGAATAAACCGAGGGCCCTGGGAGCGCGTAAAACCTTAACCGGTTGCCATGCCAACCCCCGGCTTCCAAGCGAACGCGCCGCGAATGACCACCAATGTTAAAACGCGCCCCAAGTCGGAACGCGCTACCCGAAATCACCGGTGAGACATGCATGTATAGAAACAATGTTAATTGTGCTTCAAGACCCTGTAAACTAAAACTTTACGAAAACATTACCCTCCTGTCATTTTGTACTAATCTTCAATAAAGGTTCCTACAAAAAATATATTCTGTTTCGTTTGTTTTTAGGCAAAATCATGCTCATGCTGACAAGTGTAAAAAAACAAAAAATAGTGAGCCGCCATTTTGATGTCATCGAAAACCAAGTTGGCGTGAGGTGAAACGGCTGGGCACACGTCGTGCGGACAGACAGCCGTTGCAGACAGCACAATGACCTCATCGGCCTGACGTCAGAGCCGTCATTACAAAGTTCACAAGGAACACAGAACACACCACTCACCTGGTACAACAGTGTGGTGTTCGGGTCTTTCGCAGACGCGATGTTGCAGAAAAGGCAAGGCGTGCCTTGTTCCGAGCCAGGCGGTGCATTGGAGAACAGTTTACCCACAGCGCCACCTACAAACCACGTATGAAAAAAAGGCACCATAAGAATAGGCATTTGGGCGAGTTTGTAGAACTTCACAGTGCAAGGCAGCGCGACTGGGACGAGGACAAAGAAGAGAGATACGCTAAACAAGTGCCGACTATTGGGGTCGTGAGCGATCGAAAGCGTCACTGTGATCGGTCTTCCACGATAGGCCGAATGCTGACTATGACGTCAGCAAATGATTTCCCATCGACGGGAATAAGAGGAATGGAAGAACCTCAGTTTTGACGGTGTTGGCAGTGTTGCTTTGAGAGCGCTATGATTTCAAGCTTCCAGCATGCTCTTTACAAACCCTTTCAAACTTGTTCACAAGGTAACGACGTCACGAAAGGTAACCATAGGAGGGCGCCACCAAAACATCTCGCCGCCAGTAGCAGCTGAAATCTTGTTAGAACAGAAACACAAAATTTAATGCTGATGCTACTAATACTTCAGTTGCTAGTCAGCGCTTGCTCAGTGTATATCTCTCCTTTGTCCACTACCAGTCACGCCGATTTCCGCTAAAAGAAAATGCGTCTTTAAGGCAAAAAAACACAAAAAACTCAGATGTGTTTTTAGATTCAAACAAGAGAAGTCCACCGCGTCGGTAACATAGGTTAACAACTCTATAACCTTTCCTCTTTTCCTTTTGTACTGGCAACAAGTACAGGGTGCTCCGAAAAAAACATTACCCATGTTTTGTTTTGTATTTTTTCACTGCAAAAAGGAATTAAGCAACACCGAACGCTCAGCCTAGTCACTGATTAAGTTTCCTGAGTACCAAAACTCCCAAGCTCCGCGCCGTGGCGCTCCAATTCATCCATATCCGTGCCGCTATTTTGGAGCCTTGCATAGTACACCGTATAATAACTGGATACATAGCGCACCGTTTGCGTTGCCGATAGGTATTTCAGGTATAAGTGTGTGGGGCTGTAGATAGCCACCTGAAATCCTGTACGACAGCATTTATATTGGCTGTATTTGGGCATAGGTTAGTAGTCTTACTGCCCTAGTCAAATACATTATTTTGATACACCTCTTGCTCTCTAAATATCCAGACACTAATCATCCTCTCGCCGAGGTTAAACTGTGCGGTGTTCCTGTTACAGCGGCGAACTTCGCCGCTTAGCTTAGCCACTTATTTCTGTCATCACATTGAGCCGCTGGCATTTTATTTATTTTTGTCGTTACGTATTTCCAGCAAGCAAAAGATCGTCGTATGAACGCAACAGCATTTCGTCGATTTACTTACGTCCAGCTTAAAGTCAAAAGAGTCTCAGACTCCCCAAAAATTTTAAGGAGTGGTCTAAGACCCCCTCCCCTTTCCCTTCCTTCCCTCCCTCCCTCCCTCCCTCCCTCCCTCCCTCCCTCCCTCCCTCCCGCCCCTTTTGTCCCCATAGTCCTGGCGTTGGCGAAAACACAATAATATGTACTCCATCTTGTAAACAGAAATGTTAAGATTTCCCCCTTTCAAGTTTTGTTGAGTAGCCGTCTCCAGAGAGAGCAAAACTATGTTGTGAGTAGACATGTTGACGCCGTGTGGAACAAAATGGCGGATGTTTCACGGGCACTCGTCATTCTTGACGAGAAAAATAATCAGAATCTACGTTGTTGGTCGGTTTTGTTTCCTGCGAAACATGCTGCAGGTTACGCTTTGCGTCTTCCCACTTCTGTGTTCCTGAGTCTCGGGTTTTATTACCATGAATCATCACCAGCTCGCTTGTTTTTTTAAATATTATTCACGATAAGACCTCGGTACTCTGAAGTTCCCGCGCACTCCTCGTCTCTACCTCTTCCTCAGTTTCTCTCTACATCGCTTAGCTTAAAGGGATACTTCAACGAAATTTGAAATATTCCCGTCGTGTTCAAAAATAGGTTGAATATGATCCACAATATCCGTAAATGACAATCGCACGTTTGTATTTTGAGCCTGGTGGCTGTATTGTTCGTTATAAACGGCCCACTCTGGCAAGCGCTCGGAGAAGGCCCAGCGGAGACCGCGTGACATCCAACGCAATCGTGACGTAGGTCGCCTCAAGACGAGCAAAGCTACGGCGAGGCTGACGTCGAGAGGATGGCCTAGTCGTTCCAGCCACCGAAGCGGCTGCTTTTGCACGAATTTTGAGTGACGGGTTAATCTTCTGTAATCTTGTAGGGGGACAATAGCGACTTCTGCGACACACAAAAGGCATTCTCGGGAAGAGGGGAGTTCCTCCTGCCCCTCTTCTCTCGTCGTGGCCGGAGGCGAGACAACCTCCGTCACGGAGCCCGTGGAAAACACGCGAAATACTTCAGTTAAAACATCGTGTAAGATGACTCGCACGCACGTGTACCCGAGATGGAGGCAGCATAATATTGTCTATACGGTCGGAGCTACGTAGAAAAATAAAATTATCTTAATACCAATTCTATAATGTTAAAATGCACAACTTTCGCTGTAACAACCCGGGGAAATTTTGGATGCACCTTACCCATAAAAAAAAGACTCGGTAAAAAGGGAAAAAAAGAAAACTAGCGCAGAACGACGTAGAAATTACAAACCTTTACTACGTTGCGACAGTCTTTAATGATTACTTCGCTTCCGTGTTCCTTCGCACTAACGGCCAAGCTACCGAGCTTATCAGCGGGGTGGGAATTTCTGCTTTGCTTTACTTAGACACAAAGAAATCGACCGGGCCACACGATATACCAAACGCATTTCTTTACAGGTATGACAAATGGTGTGCAGAATACCTCCATATCGTTAAAAAAAAAAAAAAAAAGAGCTCACAAAAAGCAGAAATGCTTGAAGACTGGAAATTTGCTAGAGTAACCCGTGTCTATAAAATGGGCGATAAGTTCCTCGTTTCTAACTATAGGCCAATATCCTTGCTGTGTAATGCGAGTAATGTAATGGAACAGTTTGTTTTTACACACCTGAGTGTACCCTTTTCGAGAACAATGTTTTTTTTGTTTTTTTTTTTTGGGTGGCCAGCACGGTTTTCAACGTGGCTTTTCAAAGTCACCCAGCTATTCCATACCAGCAACGAAATTTTGTCAATCCTGGACAAAAGTGGACAAATCAATGCCGTTTTTTTTTTAATATTTTGCTTGGGTGTTTCACTTTAACTTAATGTTAAAACTTCGACATTTAATAAAAAGAAAACGACCAAATGCTTCGGTGGCTTGACTCGTACTTAACTCATAGACAGAAATACTTTCAAATTGACAGGAATATCTCGCCTCTATCACCAGTTCCTTCAGGAGTTCCTCAAGGCTTCGTATCGGGCCCACTTCTCTTCCTAATTTATTTAAACGACTTGGCATACAACTCATATGTACGCTGCCGTTTCTTTTTTTTTTTTTTCTTTTTTTTTTTTTTCAGACGATTGCATTGCGTATTTAAATATGCAGTCAACAGGCGACCAGGTAACTCTAAATGATTTCCTAGCAGCCGTTTCCGGATGGTGTCAATATTCGCAAATGAGTTTAAATACCGCTATGTGCACGCACATGACTAGCGCACGAAAAAAAAAAACCGCTCAGGTAGAGATATAAAATTAATAATTCGAGATTAGCCTAGTCACGCAGTTTAAGTACCTATGAATAATTATAACTTCTAATCTAAGTTGGAACAACCACATTAAAGGTGCATTGACAGGGTATTTATGCTCGCCGAGGTTTTTAGTTCTATCTGACATGTGAAAGCCCCAACTGCCCAGAACACAATTTGCGGCTCGAAATTTAATTTCTTTCCGCCCGAAAATCGCCGATCGGGAACTGGCCGGTTTGAATTGCGCTCACTCTCTTCTTCATGGTCACGGGCCGTTTTCTAAGGTTTAGGCACAACCACCAAATGTATTCAAGGTCGCGGGTCATCGTAGGCACCCACTCAATATTAAAAATAGAAAAAAATATATGAAACTCATTATTTGTAGCCTCAAAAAGCTGCAAATACGTTGATCGAAAAATAAAAGGAGGTTGCCCAGACAACCGGAAGCATTCTGTGCGTTCACTGCATAATTCTCAACATACCGTCGTTTCGCGTATCGTGGGAGTAGCGGATGCTAGCGGACGACGGGCGTGGGACCTCTACTTCAGAACTGTCGTTCATGGTAACGGCGAATTCGGTCTTCCTTCGAAAGAGAAATTTTGGACCGATCCAAAGAATTGGTATTCATCCCGCACGACACGCCCGACCACCAAGCCGATTCGCACGGAGTCGTCAACAAGCCGTCGCCCCTTCTCGTGGATGAAGACATCGCTCGTGCAAACGTCAAGCACGCGAAGCACGAACGAAATGCCAGAGTGCTTGTGCTAACAGTGTCTAGATAAGGTTTTCATAATTTCTGATAAAACGAACTGGCTATAGTTTCTCTTTGGTGACCGTGTAGCCAAGGTGACAGCAGAACAAGTAACGGATCCCGACGTCAAACTGCAGGAATTTGAGATATATGTTTTCTTAGCGAATGCACGCCACTGTTGTGACATATTTGAATGACAAGCACGAACAAACGACAAGCACAAACGAAGTTCGTACTTCGAGTTGAATATGCACGCGTACGAAATCTTTACTAAGTGCGAATGTGGCCAATGCGTGGTGCTGCCCGACTTCAAGCCGAGAGTGGCTATGCTGGAGGGAAATCGGCAGTAAACTTTCCGACCTACAGTCGACCGGCTGCATTACTACAAAGAGTTCTCCCAGTAGCGCAGTGGAAAGATGTCCGCTTCGCACCCAGCGGTCCCAGGTTCGATCACAAAAGCGGGCGTAGTTTCTTCTTTCAATTATTTTGCGATATTTGCCTTTCTTTTTAGGGCGCAGCTCTTAGGGGCCCGTTACAGGCTTAAGCGGCGTCGCCGTCGTCATAACCGCGAGGTCACGTGACCCCCCCCCCCCTCCCCCCTGAGGTCACTCCCTATCCCTCAGTGCGCTTTCATCGTCCTCTTCAAGAGCTGCGCTCTAACCGGCGTTACAGGGAATTGTGAACGGCTTTCTTTTTTTTATATATAA